CAGGGTTTGGCCATGCTGGGTTGGGGTGGGGGCTCCACGCCTCCCCAGGACTCCTGGTGTGGGGCCAGCCCCTCTGCTGGCTGCTGCCCACACTTCTTCTCTGGGGAGAGCGTGGGCTCAGGGCTGCGCCCCAGGGGCCTGGTAGTGTCCCCGACCACCAAAAGGCTGGTCCTGAGTGTGTCCCCTTGGTCCCCAGCAGGGTGGGCCAGCGGGGCAGTGGGCTGTCCATGTCAGCCGCCCGCAGCGAGCACGAGGTGTCGGAGATCATCGACGGCCTCTCAGAGCAGGAGGTGAGTCCAGGCCCTGACTCCGGCCTCAGCTCCTTTTCCCTGGCATCCCCCGTGAGGGTGCAGAGGCCCTAGCCAGAAACCACCTCCCAGGTGGTTTACATCAAGGGGCTTGCCACCAAAGAATCAAGGTGGGTGCCGAGGTACCCAGGACTAGAAGCCTCAGGAAGCCACGGCCCGTCCCAGGCCTGCAGGGGTGAGCGGAGAGAGGGGTGTTAATGTGTCCGAGATGGGGGGGTGGCAGGACCCCCTGCAGGGAGGGCCCCAGCGCTCCCCGATCCAGATGCCACAGCACAGAGGGGGTTGGGGGACGAGGACCCTGCCTCTCACTCTTACCATCTCCTGCCTCCTTTTGGAACTTCCCATTGGCTGAGTCCAACCAGAAACCCAAGGGGCAGGAGTACCTATGGGTTTCAGGGTCAGCCTTCCGGGACCCAGAGCCTGGCGGGGTGGGGGGAGCATGGTGCAGGCCGGTGAGTTCCCAGCACGCTGTCTGTCCACGCAGCCAAAACCTTCTCACAGGAACCTCAGCCCTCCCGGCTGGAGCAGGGCTGGTTTCCCCTCAGGCCTCTTTGGGGTACCAGGACACCCTGGGGTCAGCCTAGGTGACCCTGGTTGCCATCACGGGGGCCCACAGATGGCCAGGAAGCAGAGGGGCAGCCTTTTCTCCTGGGGAGGAAGTTGGCATCAGCCTGTTCCCTCCTGGGTCCTGTGGGTCAGGTATCCATGATGACACTACCCCCTGCTCCCAACACCACGGCAGACATGAAGCAGCCACGGCACGTTTCTTCCTTCTGGGGACTTTTGTCTAGGGAGAGTTTTTGTCCAGATGGGAGATTATAGCCCTTCAGCTCAGCACAGCAGAGCCACGCATGGCTATTGAAATCAAAATTAATTAAAATGGGATAAAATTAGCAATTCAGTTCCTCGGTTGCATCTGACACATCTCAAGAGCTCGACAGCCGCTTGTGGTTGGCGGCTCCCCTCCTAGGCGGAGCAGACAGCGAACACCTCCCTGGCTGCAGAGCGCTCTGTTGGACAACAGAATGTGCTGCCCTGAGATGCTGATGCTCAGATTAGACAGATGGAAGGGGCCCCAGGGAGGGGGCGGCTGGTTTAAGTTGCAGTTTCTCACCAGAGATTCTAATTCAGCTGGTCTGGGGCAGAGCCCAGGAATCCGAATTTTTACCCAGCCACCCACATGATTCTGAAACAGGCAATCCAAAGATGAATCTGGCCATTAAAGCATAATTTTTAATTTTAAAACTTCTTGTGGTACGTTTTTGTTTACAACAACATCCAGTTGACAGAAAACAGAGCTCAGAAAGCCATCCCATTGCACAGTCACAGGGCCTGGCCCTCGAAGGCTGGGCACCCGAGCTGGGCTGTTTTAGCCCCCGTCTCACCAACGCTCTGCACTTGTGGACGTCCCGCAGAGAGGCTGGACGTGGGTTTAGTCTGCACTGGAAGGAGGAGGCCGGTGGCCCTCTCCTCTGCATTCCTTACCTGATGGCCAAGGGTGTGACGCCTGGGCTGATTGTTGCATGTACACACACACACACACACACACCGGCCACATGGGACTGCAGTCACCAGAGTCCTCAGGGACATCAAGGGTGCTGTGTCTGGGGTGAAGGGTGGAAGTGGAATTTGGGACAGAAACTTCCCCAGCCAGCTGGGGGTGACCTGAGGTTCCCCGGGAGTGTGCAAGGGAAGAGTCTGGGCCGGAGGACAGGCACTTCCCATCCTTCTGGGAGCTTCCGGCGGTCAGAGCACATGGCCGGCATGGGAAGGACAGGAAGGCAGCTGTGGGAGGGCGGAGCAGAGGTCCTGCCAGGGAGGACTCTGCTGGGGGTCTGCCGTTATTACATCCCTGAGACATCCGAGGAAGGTCAGTGTTCTGTATCGGGGTGTGGGGTACAGCTCCAAAGTTCTGGGAGACAGACACCGGCCTCTTGGGGGAATCCTGTCCCACCCCGGGGTCAGAGCTGTGCCTCGCACCCGGCCCCTGGCTGGGAGTCCTGCACATCGAGTGAAGAGGTTGGATGTGGGCCGCCGGGCAGCTGGATCATTTGAACTGGCTGACCTTGGCTACGAGGAGCCCTCGCCTGCCTCCGGAGATGGGTAATTAATCGCCAGTAATTGGCTGGCTGCGAGATTTGGGGAAGTGAGCCCAGCTGAGTGGCGGCTCAGAGCCTCTTAATAGTCATCCCAGTGCATTAGAGGAGCGGCCGCCTGACTGCTGCCGCATGCAGGGCTGGGTAGGCCAGATCCCAGGTGGGCCCTTTGAAGGAGCGGGATGCTGGGAGGGGGCGTGGGGTGCGGGGGAAGGAAAGGCTTCTCTCCACCAGCGAGGCGGCTGACCCTCTCTGTGCCCCTGGGCTGCCTGCATGCCGTGGGGCCAGCTGGACTCCAGGGCCCACTCTTGCCTGCCGAACCTGGAAGGCCGTCCTGTCTCCCGGGCTCCCTGGGCCCAGCTGGGCTGAGCAACCTTCCCGCAGTGCTTTATGGCGCTTGCGTTTCCAAAGGGAAGATTCATGGCTCCCCTCCCACTGCAGAGAAGGCAGCTGCCGCTCTCTGCATTGAATCTACAGTCCTGCCCACCATAAACCTGTCGGGGAGGCTTTTCCATTCTCCCTTCCCCCAGCATGAGCTATTGTTATTTTTAAACTCATCATTCTCCTTCTCGTCGGTTTTGCATTTTCCTTGCCCGGGCGCAGAACATCGTTCCCCTCTGTGCCTTCCCTGGGTCCCCTGCGCTGGCCGGAGCACCTCGTCCCCGGGCGCTCTGACCCTGCCCTCCGTTGCCCTGCAGAACCTGGAGAAGCAGATGCGCCAGCTGGCCGTGATCCCGCCCATGCTGTACGACGCCGACCAGCAGCGCATCAAGTTCATCAACATGAACGGGCTCATGGCCGACCCCATGAAGGTGTACAAAGACCGTCAGGTCATGAACATGTGGAGTGAGCAGGAGAAGGAGACCTTCCGGGAGAAGTGAGTCCTCCATCACCTGGCCTGGCCTCCCGCCCCCTCCCCGTCCCAGAAACCCATCCTGTTGAGGCCTGCGCTGTCTCTGGGGCAGCCACCACAAATGAACACGCCAGGGGGTGCTTAAAGCCGCAGGGATTTACTCTCTCCTGGTTCTGGAGGCCGGAAGTCCAAATCCCGGTGTTGGTGGGTTTGGTTCTTTCTGGGGGCCATAAGGGAGAGCCTGTCCCGGCCTCTCCCCAGCTTCTGGTGCTGCCAGTGTCCTTGGCCTTCCAGGGCTTCTAGATGCATCCCTCCACGCTCTGCCTCCGACCCCACATGACCTTTGTCTCTGTGCTTCTCCTCTTCTTATAAGGACACCAGTCACACTGAATTTAGGGTCTAGCCTAACCCAATACAACCTTACTTTAATTACATCTGCAAAGACCATGTTTCCAAATAAGGCCACGTTCTGAGGTTCTGGGTGGCCATGAATTTTCCAAGGACACACTCAACCTGGTACAAAGCTTAAGGGCAGCTGTATGTAAGACGGGGCGCTGTGAGTCGGAAGAACAAGGCAGGAAGGACTTAGAGGCTGGGCCTGAGCCTTGGGCAGGGCCGCGCGGCTGGCCAGTGGCTTTTTGGTGGTTTCTATTTTGTTTTCTCTTTGACAGTAGCTGCTGGCTGAGTGGGTTCATGATCCCATCACTGTGCCTGTGTCTTCTCGGCTTCATGCATTTCCTCCTCCTATCCCTTATGACAGCTCAGCCAGGCCCACCCCAGTACACAGGTGATGACACGGAGGCTCATAGAGGTTCAGACAGCGCACAAAGGCCACACAGCATGCACACTGCGGAGGCAGGGTTCAGACTCCCCCAGCCGGAATGGAGAGGCTGTGTGGGGAAGGGTTTGCGAATGGGGCCAGGGAGCAGGGCTGTGCAGAGCAGAGACGGGAGTCGAGTTCTCTCGAAGGCTGTGTCTGAGGGGGCCAAACCCCACAGTGAGGATCTGTGATGTGACATCCAGGCAGAAGGAGGCCTCCATTCCTGGCCCGGGGTCCCCAGAGGAGATGGTGGGCCCTGCTGAACCACCCCACACCTTGGGAACAGTGTGCTATAATTCCGGGGAGTCTAATCTTTTGGCTTCCCCGGGCCACACTGGAAAAAGAAATGTCTTGTGCCACACAGAAAACACGCTAACATTAATGATAGCTGATGAGCTAAACAAAATCACAAAAAAACTCATAAGGTTTTAAGAAAGTTTACGAATGTGAATTGGGCCGCGTTTAAAGCCATCCTGGGCTGCATGTGGCCTGTGGGGTGGACAAGCCTGCTATAATCACTTGCCCGTAAAGGGCTGGGTTCCCTGCCCAGGACACAGAGCACCTCCTCAGGACCTCAGACCCCTGGGAGGCAGGAGAGTGGGAAACTGAGGTGTGGATGGAGGTCTCAGTGCTTGGCCAGGAGGGGACACAGGGAAGAGACTTTACTCTGTCACTGCCCAACGTTCACCCAGCAGGCCACTGAGCCACCTTGGGGAAGACCCTGCCTCCAGACAAGAGCTTCCTCCAAAGCAATGGCATTCCTTCCCCAGTGCCCCGGGCTTTGGTCCACAGTTGTGGACTCAAAAGAGGTGCCAGGCAGGACCTGAGGGATGGGGTGACTCTGGGTCCCCGGCAGGGGTGGGCAGACTAGCACATGCAGATACTGAACTCGGAAAGGACACAGTGGCTATCCAGGAGGGTCTTTGGTGGAAATCATTTTTTAAGAGTAGCTTTTGATTATGGAAATGTTGAAACATCCATAAAAATAGAGGGGTGGGGTAATGAGCCCTTGGGTGCCCACGGCACAGGATCAGTGGTCCTCCACAGGAAACAGCCTTGGTCCCTGAGCAGGAATACTCGGTTACTTAGTGGCTCGTGCCTGCAGCCTCACCATAGCAGACACGATCTTTCTACATCAAATTGAAGTCTCCGTCGCATGCTTTTTACAGTTTTGAACGAGGGAGGTGATGGTGGGACAGTCACAGGTGTTAAGAATTACTGAATTACTGTTGCGTTCGATATTCAAATTCCTTCTGGTAGGCATGATGTTTTAGTGTATGTATTTTTTCTGAAATACAAAAACTGGTGTTCTGGGGTGCTTTCTGTGGCTCCAGACTTTCGGAAGATCTCATGTGGCTCTGCAGGTCTGATAATTTCACCCTCTGTTAATTCAGTAGCCGAAGGGTGGGGGACGCAGGCTGGGCTGCTGTCTGCTGGCCTGGTTGAGCCACAGCTTGGCCGCCTGCATCCCTCCAGGACTGTGGGCTTGGTTTGAGGTCTCATGTGCGGAGGAATTGATAGCACTCGGGGCTTTGAAAATCACCTGCTGACGGCATGGGGCTCCACCATGTGCTGGCCACGTGACCATTCCCCCTCTGAACCTCAATTTTCTTATCTGCAAAATGGGTAGAGCGACAGGGCCTTCCTTAGTCAGCTGTTGTGAGGTGTGCAGGGCATAGGAAACTTCTAATAAACGTCTTCAGGGGGTGCAAGTGAGGTAGGGGGGAGGGGAATAGGTGACCTAGGAGATTCCCAAGTTGGATTCCTGGTCTCTTGAGAGCCCCCACTGTGCCTGGGGAAACCCCGTGGGAGGGGTTTGCAAGGAACGAAATGTCACTGGGACAAGGAAGGGGAGCAGAGCAGGAAGGACTCTCCCTACCTGGAAGAGAAGAGAAGGGCTTTAGGATGACTCCGGCCTTGCCAGCCGCCCGAGGTGGGATCCCAGGCCAGGGAAGCCTGCCATTCCTCACCATGCTGCTTCCACTGGGAGGAGAGAGAGACTGTTCAGGATCCTCGGGTGTCTGGCTGGGAAGCAGGCCCGGGGCCTGCTAGCCTCCTGCCCAGCCATCTGGAGGGCCAGGCAGGTCGGGCACCGGTGCTCACTCAGCCTCCCTCCGTGGGAGCTCATAGTCCAGCCTCGCTGGCAGCCACTGCTTTCCCTGCGAAGGCCGTGGGGCTGTGGCACGTCGCCGGGACGCCTGGGCCTGGGGCCATGGACTCCACCCAGCACCCTTGGGGTGGAGCAGGCCTTGACCCACATCCCTGCCCCCACCATGCTCCCGCTCCTTTGGCCCTCGCATTTCAGCCTGGCCCAGTGGTTTCCCAGTAATTCTCCTGGCTACGCAGGAAGCCAGTTGGGACAGTGCCAGCGCCCCGCCACCAGCCTCTGACTTAAGTCCATGCTTGCTGCCTCCTTGGTTAGCCACCCCCCTCCCGCTGCCCCATGGGCACTCGGAGCCTCTGCTCCCAGCTCTCCTCTCCTGGGGAGGCCCAGCAGCCTGGTGAGCCATGACGCCGCTGGCGGGTCCCTGCCATGTTCCCAAGCAGACCCTGTGTGGGCCGGGTGAGGCCATGCTTCCCAGATCCAGCTGGAGAGAGAAACAAAAGCGGATTTTAAAGGGGGGGGAACCCCACCAAAGAGCTGCATGTCATGTCCTCATTTTTCCTGGAAGCCGCCTCCAGCAGGACAAACAAATATATTTTCAAAGGCGCTAAAGCCAGTGACTCACTCCAAGGAACGCCCTCTCTTACCCCTGGGTCCCCACCCTCCCGTCTGCCGCAGCAGCCCTTCCCACACCCCCCTGGGCTTAATTGCTCCGAGTGGGGCGGTGCCCGCCAGGCCGGGCCAGTGGGGATGGCAGGCGCCTGGGAGCCGATCGGCCGCCCTGCAGGGAAGCCCCCCTCGGCCAGGTCTCACGCCCGCCCTTCTCGTCCCACAGGTTCATGCAGCATCCCAAGAACTTTGGCCTGATCGCATCATTCCTGGAGAGGAAGGTGAGTCGCTGCCTGCCCCATACCCCTTCGGTCTCCACCTCCGTGGGCAGCTGCGTGGACTCAGGGTGGAGGCCCTCCCTCCCCGCCTACGAGGCCCTGGCCTGTTTGGCCCCTTCCTCCGGGGGCCATGCTCCCCTCCTCCCTCCTTTCCTCCCTCTCTTCCTTCCATCTGGGAGATAGATCAGTGCAGGCCCCGCCCTGGCCTCTTGGGCCCTTGGAGGAGGAGCCTCAGGTTGCTGAGCACCTAGGAACCCTGGGAACCCCGGGGAGAACTGCACGGCCAGGCTTCCCAGAGCCCCCGTGCCCGACCGGGTCTCCTGCCAGCTCCTCAAAGGCCATGTGGAGTGTCCTTGCATACTGGGGATGGATTCTGGAAGCACTGCCATGCCTGGTATCCCAGTGAAGTCTTCATAGGCAGGAGTGGCGTGCCTCAAAGGGACTGGAGGACCAGCTTTTCTAGGTCCTTCTGAGGGTCACTGACTGCTTTCTGACACCCCTAATGCCAAGCCGGATGTGTGACCTACGAGTCCCCATCTTCTTTGGACAAACCTTTGTGTGGAACTGAGGCCTAAAGCCCACTTTGTGTCAAGCCCAGGCCTGGAGCAGCTCCCGTTGGCTGGTAGACACAGTGTCCCCAGAGATTGGTAAAGCCGTTGTTTTGCACCCACAAGGCTGGTTGGACTTGGAGAGGCTGCAGGTGGGAGAAGTTGGCTGGATGAGGCTGTGTGTTGGACGTGGCCCCTGGGTCTTCCCCCAGCATCCTGGGGGTCAGAGGAGAAAGGCTGCCATCCGTGTGTCTTAAGCAGCATTTCCCTGAATCCTGTTTCTCAGAGATGGGGGCCTGCCCACCGCAGCTTGGTGGACACCCTGCTCGGGCTTCCTGGTTGTAGGAGGGAGGCCAGGAGGATGAGGCACTTATTTTAAAGGACAGCTGTTCCCAGCGCCTGCCCCTCATGAGCTGATAACCGTAGAAGGAGAGAGACGGAGCAGTGTGGGGAAAAATCTCTCCATGCCTGAAAAACCAGTGTGGAGAAACAAGCCCTATAAATAGCCCATCTTCTGAGTGACTACGTCTCCCTCAGGGAGTGGACGGCACGGCGGACTCTAGGTTAGGGCTCCCCGGGATGGAAGCAGGGCATTTCAGAAACTGGCCATTGAGCAGTCCTCCTTCGGGATGAGGGGATTAGAAGTCTTTGTGCTGGGGAGTCACTTCACGGTGTTCTTTGGCTGAGAGGCAGCCCAGAACGAGGCTTCAGTAGAGCTTCCAGAGGGGTCTGGAGCAGGAGCTGCCCACGGAGAGGCCGGCAGGGGCAGGCGGGTCTTGACAGTGAGTGAGGCTGACGTCTGGCTGGGAGCCAGGTGGACCAGCCAGTGTGTGCCCACCCGTGGGGGCAGCTGCTGTCCAGAGCCTGGCTGCCATTGCTGAGCGCAGGAAGGAGCTCTCCTGAATTGTTAAAGGAGAAGTCGGGCACCCACATCCCCTGAATTGCAATTATTGGCATCTGATTATAAAACGTCTTTCTCAGTTGCTGTGTGGGTCCTGTTTGTGGGCCAGGTTTAGCCTGGGGCTGCCTAGGAGCCCCCCTGGCGGTTGTACTTGGCAGGAGGCTGCCAGCTGGGGGCTTTCTGTTGAGGGCAGTGAAGTTTGAGGCCCAGCTCAGAGGCCTCACAGAATGCCCCTTGGAGGTGGGGTCCTGGCTTGACACCGGCCAGAGCATCGCAGAAACATTTTACGTTGTAAGGGGAACGGCTGCAGGCATTGGCGAACTGGGCTCCATGCCCGCAGGTGGGGGCATCGTGGCATCACTTTCTGAGGCTGCCCCTTTTACTGGTCCCATTTGGCCGGGGTTCATAGAGGGCTGGTTGCTCCGGCTTTCAGACCCAATCTACATGGAAAAGACCGAGGCAGAGAAAAGAAAGAAACCCAGGAAGAGGCATGTGGGGCGTGGGGTGGTCCCTACGCGCAAGGCTTGGAAGAGGCTGTTCAGGACCCCGAATATCAGGGAAGAGAAGGCTGAAATCAGGGAAAGGAGAACCCAGACCTATGTTTGGGGAAGGCTTTGAGTTTGCCCAGCTGTGGGCTGCAGTCCTTGTTTCCCATAAGGGCTGGGGGTGACATATAGCGACATCAGCGCTGTCATTAACCATAGCAACAGCGGTGATTGTGATAACAGGAAAGACTTCCATCATGTTTACTCTGGGCCAGGCCTCGTCCCAAGTACTTTACCTACGTGTTAACTGATCTGATCTTTGTGATAACTCTGTGAAGTATGTACAATTAGCATTCCCATTTTACAGGTGAGAAAACTGAGACACAGAGGTTAGGTCATCTGCCCGAGGTCACCCAGCCGGTACGTGGAGGAGGCAGGATATGAGCCCGGGATGTGAGCTCCTGGCTCCTGCCCTGAATGCCTGCACTGTACCCTGCTCAGTGTCCTCTTTCTCTGTCCCACAGACAGTGGCTGAGTGCGTCCTCTATTACTACCTGACCAAGAAGAATGAGAACTATAAGAGTCTGGTGAGACGGAGCTATCGGCGCCGCGGCAAGAGCCAGGTAAGAGGCAAGGTGGGGGTGGCTGTCCTTGGGGTCTGGCTCCCTGCATGCTGAGCAGCCACTTGCTTGGTGGCCAGCACCCCGCATGGCTGGCAGTAACCGTCTCCATGAGTTGTTGCTTGGCCACCGGCAGTGTGAGTGTAGGCTCCCCTCTGTGGTGGCAGCAAGTGAGGGGAGACCCTCTCTGGGGTGCTCACCCTGCTGGGCTATCTTGAGCCTCCCCTAGTGGCCAGGAAAAGAGCTGGGGGGAAACAACCACGGGCCTCCTCAGTCGGCAAAATCCTAGACTCCTGATTGGGTGACCTGTGATCTCTGTGCGTACAAAGGCCACATTCCAAAAGTAAGGGCTTCCCAGGATGACTCGGGGTAGTTCCCAAACTTCACGTGTTTAAAATGTTAATGGTTATGTGTGTTTATCTTAATGCATACTTGAAAGAAAAAATAGCCAGTACTTCAGCTCGCTGTTTTTTCAGATGCCGTTGCTTGGAATGAGACTGAAAGATTATTTACGCTAGAGCAGGGGCTGGCAGACTGGGACTCTGGGGCTAATCCGGCCCACTGTCTGTTCTTGTGCATAAAGTTTTATTGGAACACAGACATGCCTGTTTGTTTACATATAACTATGGCAGCATCCTTGCTGCTCTGGTGGAGTTGCATAGTTGTGACCAAAAGTGTATGGCCTACAGGGTCTCAAATGTTTACTATCTGGTCCTTCATAGAAAAAGTTTGCTTTTTCCTCCGAGCTAGAGGAAAAGGAGTTGGTTTGAAAAAATATCTAGTAAATAGTGGTAGAGATGAGAGGCTCAGTGGCACACCTTTTGAAAGGGGGATCCTGGGCGCTCAGTGTTTGGGAGAATTTGTTTTGCGTCGGGGCTCTTGAAGCATCGTCTCAGAGCAGATGCTGGGAGCACCACACGGAGGAGGCGGTTGGAGGCAGTGGGCACTTTGGTGGCTGCTGGATTGGAGTCAGTAGAGGCATTTCCTTCCTGGGGGCCTCAGTGGCTGGGGGAGCCGGGCAAGAGTGACAGAGGCCAAGAATAGCACGAGCTGGGATAAGGGGACCCTGAGGTTTTCCTAGGCGGGTACTAGCATCCTCTAGCCCCTCCCCAGAGCTGCCCGTCTTCCCTTTCCCAGGCTGCCAGAGGTCGAGAGCCATAAGGCATTGAGACCAGCCATCACGGGCTGGGGGCGGGGTCCCAGTGTCTGCTGTGAGACAGCCGCTTTCCTACAGCCTAAGAAAAGTCCCACGAGGGAAAGGAGGCTGTTGTCAGGAGCATGAGCCACACCTCGCCGCATTCCGAACGTCCGGCCACGATGCCTGGGGCTGAGCTTGGTCCTTATCCGCAGGGATTGTGGAAGGGTGGCTGCCTTTGGCTTGTGGAGAGGGTTTTCTTGTCTAGTTTTCTGTAGCCAGAGTTGACCAGTCTGCTTGCCCTTCTAACAGATGTGTAAAACCAAGGCCAAGTGGCACAGAGCGTGTATTCCAAAGATGTAGCTACGTTTTATTTTTCTTTTTTTGTGGGTTTTTTTTTTTTTTTGAGATGGAATATCATACTGTCACCCAGACCAGAGTACAGTGGCGTGATCCCAGCTCACTGCAACCTCCACCTCCTGAGTTCAAGCGATTCTCATGCCTCAGCCTCCCAAGTAGGTGGAATTACAGGTGTGTGCCACTGCATCCTGCTAATTTTTTGTGTTTATAATAGAGACGGGGTTTCACTGTGTTGCCCAGGCTGGTCTTGAACTCCTGACCTCAGATGATCCACCTGCCTCGGCCTCCCAAAATGCTGAGATTATAGGCATGAGCCACTGCGCCGAGCTGCTATGGTGTTTTTGAAATTGAAGTGCATTCAGGAATTTTCTAGACTGAGAGGCAAAAAAGTAAGTGCCAGGTCGAGAGCATATAGGTGCTGAGGTATGAGAGGCAGCAGGGAGCAGTGGGGATTGTGGCAAAGGAAGAGTGGCTAACAGCCTCAAGAGGTATTTGGAAAATATCATCAGGCGTCTGTTGGGCACCTACTGTATGCTCATTCTCTTGCTGGCCTTCCCAGTTCCCCTCCCACGACCTGTGTGGGGGCATTGAGGCTGGGCTTGTGGTGGGAGCCCTTCCTGGTAGCTGGGCTGGGGGCTCTGAAGAGCAGAGGCCCATCCCCTCCGCTTGTGTGAGATCCACATTTGCACAGAGGGAGGTGGGGAGACCATGGTAATCTAAGAAGGGTGGGGGGTGTCGTTCCCCATCATATCCTGTTGTAGAGGCCTAGCCTGTACTCTGGTAGAGTGAGAGTCTAGTGGAATGAGTGTCCGGCTTGCTGTCCATGGAGTGACTGAGTGTCTGGCTTGCTCTCAGCAGAGTGAGTGTCCGGCTTGCTCTCCGTGGAATGAATGTCCAGCTTGGTCTCAGGAGTGAGTGTCCAGCTTGCTGTCTGTGGAGTGAGTGTCCGGCTTGCTCTCCATGGAGTGAGTGTCCGGCTTGTTCTCCGTGGAGTAAGTGTCTGGCTTGCTCTCCGTGGAGCGAGTGTCCGGCTTGTTCTCCGTGCCACGGGTCTCCCTGTGCCGCGGGTCTATCTGTGCCACGGGGTCTGCAGAGGTCTCCCTGT